CACAATGAATCCTCATCTTCGCTAGGCGCAACAGGAGGCCAATAACAGTTTCACGCGCGGCAGAATATCTCCTTTCGTTTCATAATCGTGATATTCTCTCTATAACGAACGAAACGATCTCAAGGACGATCTCTAGGATCCATCGATCGTCGATTATTATTACAAATTAATACGAAGAGAACATATCGAAAGCGGACATCTTAATATCTGGGAGGAGGGGGGATCTTCTTCCTTTTTCTTCCATTACAAGTAATGCAAGTAAACAGAGAACGAGGCGGCGTGCAATCGTCGATGTAATGAGCCCGGCACGGGTTGCAAAATATGTAGACGATCGCGGCAAACGGGGCTTAGATTTATGCTTTCTGTGAGGCAACGAGGCACGAGATCGGTGTGAAAACGGGCCGCGCTCGAACACCGGCGCGGATGGAAATGAGACAGTGTCGAAACTTGTGTGTTATTAAAATCATTGCCTCCCTTACCCCCGATCTTTACGCTGGAAAATGATAGGTTGTCGCCGCGTTACACGAAGCTACGATTTTTATTGGATAGGGGGGATCTGATCCCTAGTTTTAATTTTTCATTGTTGGGAGGGGCAACAATCAGTGTACTTTAGGTACACGTAATCATGATACAGAGTTGCACGTCAAGAGTTCATCCTTGAACGAAACCTGGAGAAACGAGAGGCGAAGCTTCTGCGAAACAACAGCAACAGCAGGTAGGCAGGATAAACTAATATTACTCGCGTGGTAATAATCGTGTTCGTAATTTCCTTGGTATCGATCAGGGGAACGTTCAAATGTCACGTAACATTTCAACGATGTAATCGTAATGTAATACGAGCGATGTTTATCAGGTGACACGTAGCGTTAGAAACGATGCGTTAAAAATCGATAGAAATTGCTTTGATCGCGGGTCAGACGGTTTAGCTAATAATAATATCCAGGAAGATTTGAGGTAGGGGTAGCTAGAAGTGATTATGAAAATTATCGCTAGTTATAGAAAGTTGTGCGTCCAAGGAACATTCTTTGGTTAATAACAAATTTTCCATCGATTTATTTGCAAATTGTTGGGAATCATCGAGAGAGTGTATATATGAGTGGATATTGGAAAATGTCAAAGTGGAAAAAAACCTCCGAGTTGGAGGAACGAATCGATCGTTGTTTGCAAAATATATCGGCACAATATGCGAGAAATTTAAATTTGTAAAGGGCGAGTGTATGTAACATGAGATCTGGTTCGTAGGTGTTGATTGGAAGAAGAGATAGCTCGTTCTAACGAGAGACCAGACGATGTATTCGCATATTTTATTGAAATTCCTTAATAAATATCGTGCTTTTTCGCGGATACGTTCTTATAAATTCTCGAACATGTTTTTTTCCTTGATTACTATCCCCAAAATCGTTCCATTGGGAATCCCGTCTTTCTTTTAATAAACCGGATTGTGGACGTCACAAAAATTCGTGGTATGAAAATAAAAACGAGAGGACTAGTTCTTAGAATACTATATTAAAAATCTGCAAAATTATTCAGACCTAATACGTCAGATCTTTCATTCCTATTAATTATTTCTAAATTATTCATAGAATTATTCATGGAATATCGTGGATATTATATTCAATCTTCAATAAATTTAAATAAATATAATTAAAATTTTCTGCATACAAATTCTCAGCAAACCAACTTCGATTTACGAAAGAGGAATAGCCATTACTGAATCGTTCCTCTTCCTCGAGTTTCATCGAAAGCGATCCGCCACAGGATGAACAAGGTCAAACCACGGAATCTTATCGTTATCGCTACCTTGTAACATATATCTTTTTATGAACCGCTTGTTTTCACGCATCCGCGAGGCGACGAGCTCGTTGGACGCTCTGGATCGAGATCCACCCAACGAGATATCGGTAACAAGAAAACGTATCCAGAAGTATCGATATTCCTGGATAATCCTCGCGATACTTGTGCATGCAAATTGACGAATCGATATGCCAAGCTGTTCTCGAATGACGTCGAATTCCAACCGAAACGTTGTATAATTGCTGAAGAATCGAGAAAAAAAAAAAAGAATGTCAGAAGCAGTAATAAAACGAGATGACTCTCGCTCCATCCCAAGGAACTTGCCAAAATCAATTATTTAAAGCATGCTCATGTTTTTTTGACCACCTTTAACATCTAGACAATGACGTCAAATGGACGTTAATCAAGAGATAAAGATCGATGACCTGGCAAAATCCCATCTTTACGATGAGATGACGTTTCTTAATAAATTTTTACGATATTCTTTTATTATATCTTAAAGAAAATGACAAAGAGGAAACTGTCAACAAGAATTTTTAACAATTTTCTCTATCTTCGAAGAGAAAGATGAACAAAAAAAGAAAAGACAAAATGTTTCATTCTTTTATATATAGTATGGCGCTACTATGAGCCTTTAAAGAGTGAAGAAAAAGATGAAGAGGGATCAAGATCAATCTTTTGTCACGATAAGCATTCTAAGCTTTCTCATCATCGAGGCGTAAAGTGAAGATGAAGAGGAATCAGAGCCGTTCATCCCCCTTGCGGGAGAAAGAACAAACGGGAACGAAAAAGAATGAGGGAGTTTCAGAGTGTCGCGTTACCGGGCCCAGCACAGGTGCGGCGCTTCGAGGCTGACCAGTGTATTGAATTCCACAAAAATTCTTAACGACGCCTCTCTTTGAGCGTCGCCCATTCTCTCCATCCCGAGAGGTCTCCGTTCCAAGAGGCTCGAGCGTTTCTCTTGCTCGCTCTTCGACCCCTCCCCCTCTTTCGCTCTTTCTCGCCGACAAAAATTTCGAGATATACCGGCTCGGAATACCTGTCACCGAGAGCACGCCGTCGGGTATCGAGATTCAGTTATGAAACTTCGATTCCGACAAATGCATAGCCGCCATTCTCCTCCATTGTCTAGGAGCTTGCGCAATGTGGATCAATGCGTCTCTTGATCGTTTGAAATTTCGCGAGCAAACGTCTCCTCCAAGCATCTTCCATGCTGATTCGTACGATTTACATATTGATTGAAATTATAATTTCGAAATATTTGTATACATTACTCGATGATTAATTGAACTTGCAATTCTATTTTCTTTACTTTTTATTTCTAAATGATACGAGATTCGTTAATTCATAAATTAATATTTAAGAATAACTTTCTTTCGTCATTTATTAAATCTTCGACCACCCTTTCATTAAATATCATTAAATATCGTAAAGAATTCTCGAGAAACGAGCAACCTGTTATTATATCCTTCAAATACGCAATATACATACAAACAAGAACAATCTAAAATTTCCATATATATATATATAAAACCGAAATATCTTGTCACACACATCATTGCACAGTGACGTCAAGCAGGCGGAACAATGAGACCCGATCGAGAGGTTCGAGGTCCGCGGGTGGTCGAGTTCCGGCGAGTCCCGGAAGATCGGTGTGCGCAACAGTCGGTAAAAATGCGGCGCAAGGCTGCTTCCACGTTATTTTCTGAATACGGCCACACCCGAAAGGAGGCGTAATGAATCGTAGATCGGGCTGCAATCCCATTAGAGGGCCCCGTTCGATCGATGGCGAGCGAAAAATCGACGACAGAGAAGGGGAGAAAAAAGGAAAAAAAAAAAAAAGAAAAAAGA